TGCTGTCAAGCACTGTGCGGCAGTGGGCCCACCAGTATCAGACCACAGCCGTTTCACGGCTGTCTTATCTCCGTCCACCTCACCCTGGCCTTCATCGTGGCCCTCAGCCTTGCCCTCAGACACGAAACGCACGGCCTCCTGATGGAACCTGGAAAAAAAAACTGTTGCTTTCCGGGACTGACCGCCGTGTCTCAGACAGTCTTCTATCTGCAGCGCAGCCGGGCGGCCGCCTGGCCTGACATGAATCAGGACAAGACAAAACCTGAAGCACACCATGCACCGCTGTCCATGCCGTGCTATATGCGATCCCAGGCACCGAAGTCCACTACCGACGGTGCATTCGATCCACGGTCGACTACGCAATGGAACGCAGTCCTTGCCGCCGAGGGCGGCGGCATACAGACGGCACACTGAGCACCCGATGCCGAACTTCGTGCCCACTGGTGATCGGATCAGCCATGACCTGGTCTGACCTGCCACGTCCTACCGCCTCTGCTTGCGGAATGTGGCCGAGATTCCCGCCTTGGACGGTGTAGGTACACCTTGTTTGCCAGTCCCCACCATGTGCGATCCACCGGCACTCGTTGCAATGCTTTTTTCCGTCCTCAGTTAGAATAAATAAACTAAGGATTCACTGCAAGAACACGGCGATGCATACACACATGCTCAGAAGCCACGTCGCAGTGCATTGCCGCAAATGCTTCTCTTCCGCAATTCGCTCTGCCATTGTTGCCCTATCAGGCCCTATCACGTATGGCGGACACAGCCTCCCGTCTGTTGTTATCACTGTCGCAGCTGCATGCCGCACACATGAGTCCGAAGGTCAGATCTAGGACGAAGACTGCATGTGGACGGCATCGGATTTGCTAGGCTTCTACTGATGTCATGCCGCTCTACAACCTAAAGGACCAAGCCTACACGGCCTCGGCATCGGATTTGTTGTGCACGCATGCCCTCTGCCTTGACGATCACGGTGCAGGAGCACGTCAGACTGACTCAACCGAACACCCCGCAAGACCTTGCAAAGCGATGCAACAGAGTTTCGGCACCAGGACTGTTAATCCTCTCTCTGCAGGGCGAGGCTGCAAAATTGCCCAAGGCCCATGCTTCAGGCGGTGTTTAATAAAAGCATCACCCACTGCAAACTACATGCTTCAGACGGGGCCTGTGCGATTTAACGCATAATGCCTCAGTCGTGCTTGTTCTTCTTGTCCTTCTTCTCCTTCTTGGACTTCTTTTTCACCGGCTCCACCTGCCCAGGACAACAAAAGCATTTCTGCAGCCAGAAGTGTCTCCCAGCTTGCCTCCTGCTTGCAGTGTGGGCAATAGTATGTCCGCTTCGTGCCCTTTCGCACAGGCACAGTCTTCTTCACGTGCTTCATGTAGATCTGTCCTCAGCCGGGAAGATTACGGAAGATTTAACAAGAGACGCGAGGTTTCAGGGTTTGCAACCACTTCGGGCGGGCTGCTTGCGATGTCCATCACATGGGCACGGGTGAGGAGGGTCTGCTTGGAGAGCTTGCCGCCACATTCCGCTGCGAACCCCATGCATTCCAGGTCCTTCTTGTTCTCAGACGACACACGATCTTCTGCCCGGAGGATATTCCGTCCCAAGAGGTACACACGGCCTCTTGCTGCCCGCGGACACACGAAGGCCATTTGGCCGGAGAAGCTGGTGACCTCTGCACGCTTCAAGTAAGAATTTGACTAGGTCAACTACGGAGCGAAAAAATGCTCGACAGCGGCCTTGTGAAAGAAGCCGCCATCGAAGATGCCTTTGCTCTCAGCCACCTGATGGTACCAGAGACCGACGGTCTCGTCGGCCTTGTCAGCCTTAGGCGGGCTGCCGCAGGCGAACAAGACCACCTCGTACTTGTCAGACCAGCCTCATACAGTGGCGACAGGGAACTGCAAGACAGCCGGTCGCATGCAACTCCAGCCTGCCACTTGCACCTGACTCGGCGGCGGGTCGTAGAGGATATCCAACGTCGTAATCTTGCTCCTTGGAGGAGGCAGCTGAAATGA